GAGTTCCCCCCGGGGCCCGATTCCGCGGTGGCGGAAATCGGGCCTCCAAAGCGGGAGTTTACCCGCCCCCACTTGGCAGCCCTAAGGGTAAGTGGCCTGTAGTTCTAGACAGAGGTAATGCTCACAGGGTTGACTGGGACTTCCTCATTTGCCTGCCTACATTTCCCAGAAGCGCTAGGGGAAAAGGGTGTGGGGGGAAATGAACACACCCCAGGGGTGGAGCCAGGGGATAAAGACTTTGGCCCCTGAGGAGAGAGTTTTTAGTCTCAGCCTGGTCTGGCCTTCGGCTCGACTCCAGGGCACCCAGGCCACTATAAACGGTGGTGGACAGCCAGGAGGGTAACAGTACCCGTGACCAGTCCGGTGAAGGACTGGAGGGGGGAAGCAAAACCCATCCTGAGGCCCACAACCTCCAGAGATAGAGAAGGGGGGTGTAGGGGACAGAGGAATGGCGTTTTAAATCGTATTTATTTTCTGCCCAGGTTGTGTTAATGTGCTCGTGTGTTTATATTCTGCGCTTAACTTGTACATAGTTCAAATAAACCTTTTCTTTTTGAATTATAAAGCCCGGTGTGCCTTGACCACCTAGTCCTCCCCACTCAGCATGTCACCAGAGGCAAAGAGAGGCCAGGGAACTCAAACGGGCCCAAATCGGAGGGTTGCCAACTCTCCAGGGGGCGCCCAGTGATTGCCGTACCAACTTCCCAAATTGGGGGGAACCGGCCAGAGGAGTCTCACTGTCCCTCTAGGAAGGCGGTGTCCATTCAGTGAGGGGTGGCAGCGTGTAACGAAGGGAAATACCCCCAACCAGGTAGGGTGGGAAGACAAAAACGGGGGCTTGCGAGCCACAGAACAGCGGCTCAGTCTCCCAGGGCTGAGGGCGGGTCCCCGTTTCGCCACACCCTGTATGCCAATGCACTGCTAAAGCAAATCAATTGGAAAACCTAGTTCCTGCACACACACCCCGGTGCGGTCCCAGAGGGCCTCTGGCCATGGCAAAGGGCGTGGCTTCTTCCCATCCTCCCTGGGAAATTGTCTCTCTAAAGCGTCTTTGGGACACCCTCATGATCCTGAAGCAGCCTGCATGGCCCAGCTTAGCTGAAGCTTGTTGAAGCTTGAAAGCTATGCACAGCCAGCACTTGGATGGGAGGCCACCAAGGAAGACTGGGGTTGCTATGCAGAGGCAGGCAAGGGCAAGCCACCTCTGAAAGTCTCTTGCCTGGAATGCCCAGTGGAATGGGTGGCTGTGAGTCAGCAGTTGCAGCAGGGTCTTCTTCATGATGCAGAACGGGCGCCTCCTCGTGGCTAAAGAGGGGGAAACATGGCTGCCGCATTTTTTCGCAGCAGGGCTCCTGTGCCTCTAAGACAGGGGTGTCAAACATGCGGCCCGGGGGGCTGGATCAGGCCCCCAGAGGGCTTCCATCAGGCCCGCAGTGGAACTGGCCGCCTCCTGCTTCCAGTTCCGCTGCTGCTGCTGCATCATAGCTTGCTTTGCCAGACTCTCTCAATCACTCAGCCATTTCACGTTTTAACCTGGGTCCTAGACTCAGAACTCTGAGCATGAGATTTCCGTGGCGAATGTCAATAAATCAAAAGTAGGTTTGCAGCTTTACAGAGCGAACGTTTTAAGCGTGTTTTTATTTTAAGTAAAAAAAGATCTTTGTGTTTGTGTCCTTTATAAAGTTTATATCTCCGCTACCCGGCATTACATCTTATGACACACGTGGCCCGGCCCAACAAGGTCTCATTTATGTCAGATCTGGCCCTCATAACAAATGAGTTCGACACCCCTGCTCTAAGAGATGAACAACACACAGTGCAGTTGCCATATCCAGGTTGGGGAATTCCTGATTTGGGAATGAAGCCTCGGGAGGGTGGGGTTTAGAGAGAAGAGGGGCTTCAGTGGAGCATCATGCCACAGAGCCCACCTTCCAAAACAACAGGGACTGATCTCTGTCATCCGGCGATCTCCAGCCTCTACCTGGAAGTTAGCAACCCTAACACAGAGATATTCAGCCATTACGTTTTACCTGTCGAGATTCACTCTGTTATTACAGGCAGGCAGTCTGGAAGGAAACGACAGGAAACGCGATATGACTCCGCAGGAGCAATTGTAAAAGCCGGCTGAGATTTGCCAGATTAAACCAACAACACAGCTAGGTCTAAATAGTTAAAGCAATAGGGACAATGCCGTTTTTGTCGCACCCTAGCTGTATCTGAAGAAGTGAACAATGACTCATGAAAGCTCCTCCCCTGCCACTGACACAAATGTTGTCAGTCTTTAAGGTGCTGCTGGACTCTGGCTCTTTTCTACGGCTACAGACAAAGACGACCCAGCCCAGTTTTATGGTGTTTGCTGCCACCCTGTGGCAGTTCTGTGCCTCTGCAAAATTGTCTGCAGTGGTATTTCTGTCACGGAGGGCTCTTAACCTGCCTCATATGTCATCATTGGCCTTTAAAAATCCTTCTTGGGAAGGCAGTTATTGGACACCCACCCACATGAGAAAGGGCTTTCAAGTGGCTTCCAACTAACCACAACCTGATGAATAAATTACCTCTAAAACGTCCCGTCATTGGGAGCCCGGCTCAAGTCTTGCAAACTGAAGGCCATGGCATCCTTCCCCCCCCCCCAAAAAAACCCCCAATTTATTAGGATATAATTAAAAAGAAATGTTCAAACATATATCAAAACTTATACAATTATATATCCTTCCCTCCTCCCTTCCCCCCCCCTTCTCGGCTTCCCACAGTCCTCCAACCTCCTGCCCAATTCTTAAATTTTCTCCATACCTCCCTTATCTCCTTATTCACATCCACAGGTAACTTAACCTTCAACTGTTAGTCTTATACATTTATCTATTTTCTACTGTCCTTTAAGTTTCAATAATTCTCAAAGCAAAGTAAATTGTCCTTTACATCCCAGTATTTCTCCAAATAGTCTTTAAAGTCTATCCAGCCTGCAAAAAATTCTTCTGCTTCCAAATTATGAAGTTTCCTTGTCATTTTGTCCATTTCAGCCATAAAAAGTAATTTTTTAATCCATTCCCCTATTTCAGGGACCTTATCTTGTTTCCAACATTGAGCATATGTCATTCTGGCAGTCATGATCATATACCACATCAGTGTCCTTTTTGCCATGTTGACTTCTTCCATTTTCAGTCCCAAAAGTAGTATTTCCGGTTCTTTCTTGAACTTACATTTCACAATTTTTTCCATTTCTGCATGTATAGGCCATGGCATCCTTTACAGAGTCTATCCATCTCATGTTGGGCCTTCTTCTTTTCCTACTGCCTTCAAATTTTCCTAGCATTATTATCTTTTCCAGTCAATCTTGTCTTCTCATCACACGAACCAGGTACAATAGTCTCAGTTTAGTAATTGTAGCTCCTAGAGAGAGTTCAGGCCTAATTTGATCTAGAACCCACTTATTTGTCTTTCTGGCAGTCCTTGGTATCCATAAAACTCTCCTCCAACACCACATCTCAAAGGAATCGACTTTGTTTTGTCAGCTTTCTCCATTGTCCATTGCTGCTGTACCTTAGGGAGTGTCCGTGGCTCAGAGTGGTAAAACATCTGCTTGGCGGGCAGAAGGTCCCAGGTTCAATCCCCAGCATCTCCTGTTGAAAGGACCAGGTAGCAGGTGATGTGGCAGATGTGCGCTTGAGATCCAAATACTGACTTTGATGGACCAACGGTCTGATTCAGTATAAGGCAGCTGTACGTATGTACCTTTATCAAAGATATATAAAATGGAAGAAGTAAATGTGGCAAAAAGGACATTGATGTGGTACATGATCACAACGGCCAGAATGACGTACGCCCAATGTTGGAAGCAAGACAAAGTCCCTGAAGTTGGGGATTGGATTTAAGAAACTACTTTTTATGGTTGAAATGGACAAAATGACAAGGAAACGAAATAATTTGGAAGCAGAGGACTTTTTTGCAGACTGGAAAGATCTTAAAGACTATTTGGAAAAGAATTGGGATGTAAAGGACGGTTTATTTAGCTTTTGACAATTACTGAAGTTAACAAATATTAAAAATAGACTAAGATGCATTACTTAAATAGAGAGCGACAAGTTACCTATAGATATGTGTAATCAAAAAGAAAAAGAGGGGATGAAGAAGACCTAAGAATTGAGCAGGAGGTTGGAGCACTGTGGGAAGCCGCGCAGGAAGGGGGGAAAGGGTGGAGGGTATGATGTATTAGTATAAAAGTTGTGATCTATATTTGACTATGTTTATTATATCCTAATAAAATGGTTTTTAAAATTTTTTTTAAAAAAGCAAAGATATATAAAACTTAGGTGGCTACACTTTCCCCCATCACTTTATCTTGGTGTGTGTGTGTGGGGGGAATGACTCCCTGCCATTTCTGGTTGTCAAGTTTCAGTTAAAGGCACAAAAGAAGAAAGGCCAGTGGGAAGAGCTGGTGGGGACTACGGCCTGCCCCGTGTAGAGAGCTGCCTTTCCCCCAGTCTTCATCCTGTACCTTGGGCAGCTGACTGACATCAAGAAACGCGGCCCACAAAGACGGCCTCTAGAAGCTCGGGGCTGGCCGGTCCCAGACTGATGTCCCACATGGATAGCCCTCTTTTAGACTCGCGGGGACTCGCAGGAGAGGCCGAGCATTTTCACCCCCTCCCCGCCCAGGTTGAAAACACAAGAGTGGAACCCTTTGCCCATGTGGCTATGACTTCTGGACCTGAATGCCCCTCTTTGTTGAATGCTGACCAGGAGCATGAAACATTAGACCACAATAGAAGGACTGTGAGTCGGCCCCCTTGCCAGTGACAGGTAAGACGATAAGCCTTCTCCAAAAAGTTACAGAGTCCGTTGCCAGGCCAATCGGAGCCACTTTCTCCAAGACAAGGTCCCCGCTTCATCGGGGAGCGGCCAGGACTGAAAGCGGCCCTTGTGATCGGCTGAAACGCCTTCCTGCACATCCGAAACAACAGACGCACCAGGGAGAGGCCTCGGCTTTGTGTGTTGATTGCCGGATGCATTCCCTAAGGAAGGTGAGTTCTATGGTGGTGGTGCTGCAGAAATTGGCCATATTGACTCGGAGAGGAAGACAGCCTCGAATGTAAGATGAGCCCTCCCCCAAATGGTATACACAAAAAGGGTTTTGGTATTGGACGTAACTGTAACGTGTATGCAGACGTAAGACAACTGCCTTTTTATGGCATACCTGGGGAAACAGCCCAGTCTTATATTTAAGTAAATACTGAGACTTGGGCTCATCAAAGCTGAACATCAGAAGATTAAAAGTGCAGATAATACAGCTCTCAAGATGTCTCAGAGGCAAAATGGGGGGGAAAGAAAACTTCCCTGCCTCTGGGGGGAGAGGGAATCAAGACTGTTCTTAAAGGAATCTAGTTTTCGCTTTCAAACATTGCTGGAAGTGGCTGTGGGGCTTTTTGTGATTCTTTAGCTTTGTTGTTAGAACTCTTATGCCTGCTGCTTTTATGCCGGCACCTTAAAGGCCCCCCCCCAATTAAAATGGATATTTAAAATCACGTATCTTATCCAAATAGCTAAGAATTTTGCTTTTAGAAATTACATCTTTATTTGAACCTTTAGAAATCACCTCGATGCATGGCATCTGTTATTTGAAGCATCGCCTTTGAGAAGGGAAATTGTCCCTTCTTTCCGCTGCCTCTCCCCAGCCTGGATTTGGGAAGAGCCTGGATGAATGTCGCGCCTTTCATTATAGCAAAGGAGGCATCCTGCTTGCTCTCTTCCCTTCTCTTTGAGTGCTTCTGGTTTAGTGACTGGTGGCCGTCACCGAGCCAAGTGAAGACATGCGATCCGGGTGGCTTTGCTTTCTGGATGATGGGGAAAGACCCCTCTTGACTGTTTTGTCGTCTCCAGAGCCACCAGACTTCACCCTCCAAGATGCTGACGTTGCTTCTCCTGTCCTTCCTCTGGGTGGGAGCATCGGATGGGACAGGTAAGGAGAGAAGGGGCAGGTGTCCCCCAAACAAACTGGTGAAGTTGCCCTGATCAAGTCAAACTGTTGGTCTACGTCGCCCAGTGCGGCCAACTGGCAGTGCCCTTCCAAAGTCTTGGGCAGAGCTTTCCTATTGTGGGGGGAAATAGGAGTGCAGGACTCCCCACCTGGCTCAATAGGGGATGAGAGCAGGGGTGTCAAACATAAGGCCCGGGGGCCGAGATTGGCCCGTCCAGGGCTCTTACCCGACCCGCAAGCAACTGGTATGTACAGAAATGTACAGAAATGACAGAAACTCCCCTTTTATGGTACCCCCTTGGGGGAAAAACTAGTCTTGCATATGATTAAATACATTTATTGGGGCTTCTGTGGGTTCCCCAATAAATGAATTGTTCTCACTGCTAGGAATCAATGACTTTTGTTTGTATTTTGAGTAAAAAATAATATTGTACATTGGGTTTGCCCGTGTCTTACCTGTACCTGCCGGTACGTGGCGTTACATTTTATGGCACATATGGCCCGTCCCGACAGAGTGACATTTATGTCAGATCCAGCCATCATAACAAATGAGTTTGACACCTCTGTTCCTAGAGCATCGTAGAGAGAGAGAGAGAGAGAGAGAGAGAGAGAGAGAGAGAGAGAGAGAGAGAGAGCGCGCACTGTTCCAAAGTAACTCAAATAGTAATTTAGTATTCATCATACAGCAAGAAGCTGTGCTGGCTCAAGTGGTTAAGACGCTGAACTGCAGGCTGTGGAAAGTCAGTAGTTCAGCAGTTCGAGACCCGGGTGCCGCATGATGGCGTGAGCTCCCATCTCTAGTCCCAGCTCCTGCCAATATAACAGTTCGAAAGCAAGAAATTGCAAAGAGATAAATAGGTACCACTTCGGTGGGAAGGTAACAGCGTTCCGTGCACCTTGGTGTTTAGTCATGCTGGCCACATGACCATGGAAATGTCTTCGGACAGCGCTGGCTCTTCGGCTTTGAAACGGAGATGAGCACCGCAACCCTAGAGTCGGACTCGACTGGCTTTCGAGCAAGGGAACCTTTACCTTTATTCGCCATACAACTGTCACCTGCTACCCCATATCCTCTTCTTCTTTTTTTTTTGTATTTTTGGTATTTTTCATATGTGTGTCTGTGTGTGTGTGTGTGCGCGCGCACCTTGAAGTCATGGCAACCTCTGGTGACTGACCCCTACTGGGGGCCTGGAGGCTATTCAGCAAGGTGGCTAAAAAAAGTCTGCCTCTGTCCTACTGACTGCTGGTATTCCATGGAGGTCACCCATCCAAATATCTGCTAGAGCCGACCCTGCTTAACGTCTGAGATCTGGCGAGACCACTGGGCTTGCCTGAACGATCCAGGCCAGGGCACTACCCTGTGTCCTCTTAACCACACTTGCCCTGCCCCCGGGCTCCATCCCCTCCCCTCCGTCAAGCGCAGTGTGCATTGAGGGATCAAGAGCCCTCCTAGCAAAGTAGTGGCCGTTTGCAACCTGGAGCACCGGTGTGTGCGTCCGAGGCAAGGCCTGCAACCTGCTTCATGCTCCCTAAGACAAGTAAGAAATACCCAGAGACCAAAATACCAATATTAAATCGACCTCATTGGAGGCGGTGGCACCAGCACAGGGCAGTGCTCACCAGTCGCTCTGGGGCTCAAGTCTAGATGGAGGCTATAGAATACTGGTCCCACCGGCACCTGACCTGGCTCTCGCCAAGTGTTTGCGGAAAGGGGGGCGGGGACAGCTGTAGCTCTTGCCTAGTACACCTTCTGATTGGCCACTGGAGAACCGGCTGCTTGTGCAGACGAAAATAACATTGATTTGGCGGCAGCTGCCATCACAACGTTTTATTTATTCTCTGTCTCTCACTCCCCTTTCCCAGTGCCTTTTTAACATTACTCCCCACCTGCGCTGGATCTTAAGAGCCGGTCTGGTGTAGTGGTTAAGAGCGGCGGACTCTACTCTGGAGAACTGGTTTGATTCCCCACTTCCCCACATGCAGCTGCTGGGTGACCTTGGGTCAGTCACAAGTTCCTTCAGAGTTATTCTCTCAGGAGCAGTTCTCTCATGAGCTGTTCTCTCCGAGTTCTCTCAGCCCCGCCTACCTCACAGGGTGCCTGTTGTGGGGACAGGAAGGGAAAGGAGATTGTAAGCCACTCTGAGTGAAGGGCGGGGTATAAATCCAGTCTCTTCTCTTCTTTCTCTTCTCTTCATCTTCCTCTGGGAGTGTATTGGCCCCACCACCCGCAGCAGCCTAGTCACACCCGTTTTGAAACCGAAAGTGCTCCGCTGCCTCTAGGGCTGCCGAAGGACCAGGAACCCCAACCCTACACCCTCTTGTGCCTTTTGCGGCAACTCAGATCTGCAGAAATTAGCAGGGGAGGTTTCTCGTGGCTTGTATGACTGATATTGTCACCTGCCAAGGTCTCCGCACCAAGGCCACCGCTAACAGCACAGCTTTAATAGGGTGGCCACCAGCCTCCAGTGGGACCTGGAGACCTCCTGGGATTTAAATCCATTGGCAGACAACAAAGGTCCCTTCCCCTGGAGAAAAGGGCTGCTTCGCAGGGGGGGAACTCTCTGGCACTGCACCCTGCTGAGGTCCCTGTCTGACCCCCAAACCCCTGCCCTCCCCAGGTGTCACTCCTCCAGATCTCCAGGAATTTCCCAAACTGGAGTTGGCAACCCTATGGGAGGAGGGCTCCTTTGATGGCAACACATTAACATGTGGCTTGCGGGCAGGGCTGGGTGTACCACATCAGTCGCTCCCAGGCACCTGACTTAAGCGATTACCAAGTGCTTTTCATCAAGGCGTGTTTAGCCTTTTGCTGTTTAGCATTGGCGTCGGTAGGAAGTATTCCCTCTGCACTCCACGTGCCTTCAGGCAGTGCTCCACAAAATCTCTGGATGTGGGCCCAAGAGAAAGAGGCCTCTGGAAGGCCGCTTTGCAGAGGAGCCGCAGCGCTTGACAAGAAGCAATTCTGTCATTATGAAGCAACTTTTATTTATTTATGAATTAAATTTATACCCCGCCATACCCCCCCCCCAAATGGGCTCAGGGGGGGCGGCTCACAACATAAAAACAACGGCAATTAAAACAGTAAAACAAGAAATAACAATAGCAGGTAAAAATCAGATCCCATGCCTATAATCATTCCAGAAGACTGCAGTGCCTAGATCAGGGGTGTCAAACATGCAGCCCCCTAAGGGCTTCTATCAAGCCCACAGTGGAACTGGCTGTCTTCTGCTTCTTCTTCCAGTTCTGCTGCTGCTGCATCATTGTAGGTTTGCAGCTTACAGATACACACCTGAACAGCATATTCAAGATCAGTGTTCCCTCTAAGTGAGTTAGTGTGAGCTAGCTCACAGTTTTTTAGCCTCTGGCTCACACATTTTTATCTTAGCCCAGGACGGATGGCTCCAGAGCAAACTAATTTATGCAGTAGCCAAATCACTTGCTCACAACTTTAATGCCAGGAGCTCACAAAGTAGAATTTTTGCTCATAAGACTCCACAGCTTAGAGGGAACATTGAGTCAAGATTGCAACAGCACAGACATTTTGATGCAATAATTCAGAGCAAGAGTGCTAATGTTTTAAGCATGTTTTTAAGTTTAAAAAAACCCCTTCGTGTTTGTGTCCTTTATAAAGTTTATATCTCCGCTACCTGGCATTACATTTTATGACAAACATGGCCCGGCCCAACAAGGTCTCATTTATGTCAGATCCGGCCCTCATAACAAATGAGTTCGACACCCCTGGCCTAGATGGTATCCCAAACAGTAGGGCACTGGAAGAAGGTCATAGACAGCACCGTGGACAGGACAGAGAGATCAAGATTAAATATACATTTTTTAGATTACTACGCATACGACCAGTCACAGAGAGTGAGAAGAAGAAGAAGAAGAGTTTGGATTTATGCCCCGCCCTTCACTACCCAAAGGTGTCTCAGAGCGGCGTACAAACTCCTTCCCCTTCCCCTCCCCACAACAGACACCCTGTGCGGTAGGTGGGGCTGAGAGAGCTCTGACAGAAACTGCTCTTTTTCAAGAACAGCTCTTATCAGAGCTACGGCTTGCCCAAGGTCATCCAGCCAGGTGCAAGTGGGGGAGTGGGGAATCAAACCCGGTTCTCCTGGATTAGAGTCCACACACTTAACCACTATACCAAACTGGCCCAAACAGGTGAGAGGATGTGTCAGAGCAACTCAGGAGGGAGAGCAGAGCTACAAATGACTGAATAACCTGCCATCTTCCCTTTATAAACCCAGCCCAGACAAGGGCCTCCTCCTCTTACTCTGGAGAATTTGGAAGTGATGCTGGGAGCCATTTTGACCAATCGGATCAGGAGCTGGAGGGTCCCATTACGGGCCTGAGGATAAGGGCAAATGACAGATATATTGTAAGGTAAGTGTGCCTTTAGACCCAATGTTCCCTCTAAGCTGTGGAGTCCTGTGAGCAAAAATTCTACTTTGTGAGCAACTGCCATTAAAGTTGTGAGCGAGTGATTTGGCTACTGCATCAATTAGTTGGCTCTGGAGCCATCCTTCCTGAGCTAAGACAAAAATAGGTGAGCTGGAGGCTAAAAAACTGTGAGCTAGCTCACACTAACTCAGCTTAGAGGGAACACTGCTTTAGACCCTGGGTGGCCCGTACGTCAGGAGCCCCAGCGGGGGGTTGGGTGGAAGTTGTGGTAGCTAGCTGGTACCCAGTGGGGTTGATGGGGCAGACAGCAGGTCAGTCAGTGGTGGGCAGAGCCCACCAATTCTGGTTTTGTCCCCTATCCCCCTCCATTGTAATGATGCTAGAGCCAGGCAGGGCTATTTTTGGGCAGGAACGCACAGGAACGGAGTTCCGGCTGGCTCCCGAGTTGGCCACGCCCAGCAGGAACTCATTAGCATAATAGGCCACACCCGACAGCAGAAACTCATGAGGATTGGCTACATTAGGGGTGTGTGGCCTAACATGCAAAGGAGTTCCTGCTACAAAAAGAGCCCTGGTTTGACAACAAACAAGGTCAACAGAATAAGAAGCAAAAGGTGGGTTTGGCTGGATGACCACACTTCTGGTAACATGGGGGTGCGGCCTAATATGCTAATGAGCTGTGCTATCAGGGGTCTGGCCTAATAGGCTAATGAGTTCCTGCTGTTGGGTGTGGCCTATTATGCTAATGAGTTCCTACTGGGCTTTTTCTACAAAAAGAGCCCTGGAGCCAGGGTTGTCTGAAGGCACCCTGGAGTTATAACTGACCTCCAGGCAACAGAGATCAGTTCCCCTGGAGAGAAAGGCGGCTTTGGGGGATGGACTCTGTGACCGTCTACTCCCACTGAGTTCCCTCCCCAACCCCTGCCCTGCCCTGCCCAGGAACCACCCTCCAACCTCAAGGACTTTCCCAGCCCAAAGTGGGCAACTCCATAATCCAGCTGCAGGAATTAATTATAAGACACACATCTTGCATTCCTCTCTTAACAGAAAATGGCTGCCTCCTAGGAATGTCAGGTCCAGGCTGGGGGATTCGTGGAGATTTGGGGGTGGAACCTGGGGAGGGAGGGGCCTGGGGAGGGAGGGGCCTCCACAGAGTATAACGCCATACAGTCCCCCCTCCTCCAAAGCAGCCATTTTCTCCGCAGGAACTGGTCTCTGTTCTCTGGAGAACACTGGTAATTCTTGGAGATCTCCAGGTCCCACCTGGAGGTTGGCAACAGTACTTCCTCCTGAATTGGACTAAGGAAGACCAAATAGGCACATGGGGGGGGGGGGCACAGAGGCTTGAAGGAGGCAGGACAACGACCTCATTGGGGCTTGCTGGCCCTTCAATTTTTCTGAGAGCGTCCCTGATTGGTCAGTTTTTATCTGACCCGCCCTGATCCCCTTGAAAGAACAAAGAGTGACAGGCCTGGTCAGTGGAGTCTTATGGATCCATTGACCAATCAGAGCTCCCTTAAGGACAGCTCCCTGCCCCCTGAACTAGTGTACTGGATGGGCCTAGTTTAAAGGGCAAGATGTGCCCTCTGTCTCTGGGCGGGATGTGCTTGCTTGTTGTAACTCTAAATTAATAGGGGCCCCCAACCCTTCCCTCAGGGCGTCACACTCTACATGTGGCACAATGGAGCAATTCCGAAGCAGTAATGCCACAAGCGGGGTTTGGCCATGTCCCGGGCTGTTCTGGAACGTATTAATTTTATAAAGCTTTCTGTAAGCCCCAAATAGTCTGTCATGGAGGAGGCTACCTGCAGAATCTCTGCATGATTTGTTGTTCTAGGCTTGCCTGCTTCTAAGCCTTCCCGAAGAAAAGGTAATTCTGCCCTCGCTCTGCCTTGCTTGCGATTGGATGGTTTGATCTCCTCTGATGAAGAGGCACAGCATAAATATGTGCCCTCAATGGAGGCTGCCTGTCACATCTCTGCATGAGTCACTCTTTCCAATCAAGCCTGCCTCCATGACAATGCAAAGAGAGAGCTCCTTGGAGGGTGCATTACCCTTTCAGACTCTAAAAATAAACCAATGGAGGCTTGTTTCCGAATTTCACTTTTAAAAAAGCATTTCATTGATCAGGTGTTTGGACATCCTGCTCTAACAACTAGGAGGAGTTCAGATTGATTAAAGGGGGCAGGGATCCTCCCTATAGAATCCATTCAATGTTTGGACTAAGGAGTTTATGGAAATACGCCGTGTTTTCCAAAATGCCCTATGCAAAGATTTTCAAGCACTGCAGACAGTGTGTTATGAGGTTTAAAGGGAGGAGAAGAGAACAATATGAGCTATCTTGGGTTCCCCCTGGGGAGAAAGGGGGGTATAAATAAAGTGAATGAATACAATAATTTAAAAAACAACAACCCTATAACTGCTCTACATTGGGAGAAGCATAACCTGTTGATTTTTGCGGTTGAATCACATTCGGCCTCTCTCCGGGAAAAGATGCCTCCCCTAAATCATACTGTCTTTTCCTTCACCAACTTAGCATCCAGGTTCGCTACGGAGACTCCTGGTCCAGCACGGAAGGGGGGATGGTGGGCAGCCCCGCCAACGTCCGGCTCTTTCTCGGAGAGGGGATCGTCCAGGTCTTGGGCCGCTTTGGAAGCCACGTGGAGTATCTCGCCCTCCGCACCAACCAAGGCCGCGTCTTTGCCTTTGGACCCAACTTCGGCCCAGGGACGTTCTTCACTGCAGAGCCTTCGTTCCCAAACACGGTTCTGCGCTCTGTCAGCGGCCGTTCGGGGTCTTCGATCGATGCCATTGGGTTCCATTGGGACACAGAACAATGAATTGCAAGGGCACATTCCTCCCTCTTTGTGCCCCGCCCCTGGTAGTCACCAAAACCCATTTCAGAAACTATAATCAACGTACCTTCAATCAAATAAAAACAATAAAATCAATAAAATAATCCAGATTTAACAATGGGTGGCCGTAACTGTCTTCGTTGTAGGGATATAGGATAGAAGACGAATCTAGTGGTGAAGAGAATAGGAACTGAACATACAAAGCTGTCCTTATTTAGTATAGACATCAGTTCATCAGCTCAGTATGGATCCAGACAGCATTTCTGGAACTTTGAGGAAAGGTGGTGGGCACCACAAAAGGGGTGCCAGGTCCCACCTGGCAATCAGTGGGGTGCTTCCAGATCCTTCCCGGGATCTGATGTCATCACATCCCGCACCGACCAGCTGCCAGTGGTGGATCAGAGCCCCCAAAGGTTGTGGGCTGGGAAACCTACACCACAACAAAATGGCTGCCATGGGGAGTGGGACCAATCACAAAATGGCTACCTGCATGCCTCAGTCAATGATTAACTGCAAGGAGGTCCCCCAAAATGGTGGAAGGTTCCAAGCCAAACATCAGCCTAGGGTGGAGGGCGCTGCCTCGTGGGCTTTCCTGAATCACCTCCTGCTCCAAGGAGACGGGGGGAAAACCAGGATTGGCTCTTCTGCTTTGGGGAAGAATCAAATGGGCACCAGGAAAGACACTGACTCCGGTAGCATCTTAAAGACCAACAAAATATGTGGCAGGGCAGGAGCTTTCCTGAGTCACTGCTCACTTCTTCAGAATCTGAAGAAGTGAGCAGTGACTCACGAAAGCTCCTACGCTGCCACATATTTTGTTGGTCTTTGCTACTGGACTCTTTGCTCTTTTCTACTGCTACAGACAAACTGTGGCTGCCCATCTTGATCTATCTCCAAGGAAAGGCATTGACAGGTATCATACTGGGGATCATTGGTCTGCTCTGCTCTAACAGGTGGCTGGCTCTCCAGGATTTCAGGCAGAGAGAGATCTTCCCCAACACCTCCCACGTGCAGGCTTTCCAATGAGCTGAGGCTGAGCCTGGGATTGTTGTTTTCATGCCAAGCTTTCACCCTTGGACAACAGCTCAGGGAAGTGACAGGGTGGCTTATATTTCAGGGCCTGAAATATGAAATAAGGAAGGCGATTTGCCCAAAAATGTCAGTCTAAGCACTAAGGAAACAAAACACCTATTGCAGTGGTTCAGCAGGGGTTTCCAAAGTGTGTTCCGGCGAATGCTGGTTTCCTCAGAAGTCTATCAGGGGCTGGGCTGCCCGGTGAGATTAGGAATGGCGGATGAGCTTTCCTGGAAAATCACTTACCCAGAACGGATTGTCCTCTTTAATGCACAGTCCCAGGAAACTGCACTATATCTTTCCTAAGGGACTCTCTTTATGAGCGTTAGGGAAGCCCCATAGGCATGGGTGAGGGGCAGAAACATGGCAAACCAAGTGTTAAGTAAAGCCCTTAGCAGTCCTTCTGATCCTCCTGCAGCTGCTAAGGTAAAAGGTAAAGGTTCCCTTGCTCGAAAGCCAGTCGAATCAGACTCTAGGGTTGTGGTGCTTATCACCGTTTCAAAGCCGAAGAGCCAGCGCTGTCCGAAGACGTTTCCGTGGTCATGTGGCCGGCTTGACTAAACACCAAGGCGCACGGAACGCTGTTCCCTTCCCACCGAAGTGGTCCCTATTTATCTACTTGCAATTTCTTGCTTTCGAACTGCTAGGTTGGCAGGAGCTGGAACTAGAGACAGGAGCTCACCCTGTCTTGCGGCACCCGGGTCTTGAACCGCTGAACTACTGACCTTCCACAGCCTGCAGTTCAGCGTCTTAACCACTTGAGCCACCGCAGCTCCTAAAGGGCCCACCAAAAAACCCTTTGAGTGAACGCAGCCAATAAAACAGCCTGGCTTACAACGGTCCCACCCACTTTCTGAAAAGCCTTCAGGGCATCAGATTGAGGAGCCTTGGCCTAAGGTATATATATTTTTTTAAATGTCTGAACAGAAGGAAACAGCTTTTCCCCTTGCATTCCTGGCAAGGGGCTTAAAGGAAAGGAAAAGAGAAAAATGAAGATAAGGAAAGAGGCCCATTTTGGCATCTCTTCTAACGTGCAGCACAATAAAGTGGCGGAATGGTCAGCGTTTCAGACAGCAGGTGGTGGGTCCACATTTTTTAACGCTCTCCTGTTTCGAGAGACTTCCTGAACACTGAAAATTAGCAGAGCAAGGAGTGGGCTGGAACGCCCTCATATCCTTTTTTCTTTACTTACAGAATCGTAACAAAATATTACACAGTGGAGCACTAAAAAACCGGCATCTAGAGCGAAACGCATAGGGATCTAGAAAACTTCAATACATCTTTTCCCCTTGCACCTGGTTTTAATTTCTCCCTCCTCGTTGTATAAGGCTGGCTACAAGTTATAGCTGCAGCAGAACGGAGTGGCCAGGATGCTTTGGGGAGACTGCTGGCTGAACTGCTTCGTATGCAGGTGAGAACCAGTGCCCCTTTTAATGCTCCTTCACGTAATCAATGATCTCTTAATGCGGTTTTTGTTGTTGTTCCCAAAGCCCAATAGCTAGCACACGAGGGGACATAGTTCTGGCACAGCCTACTCCTTGCAGTGCTAGATGTCTACTCTTGAGGAGTTTCTTGATACAATGAACACACTTTTAAAAGGTGATTCATCCACCGACAGCAAAACGGCGCCGCCCATTCTGTCCCCTCATTCTGCGCCACACGGGGATCAGAGCCAAGCGACAGCTGCCCATGTGGAAAACTGCCACCTCTGGCTGTTTTGCTAGGTCTGCCAACTCCGAGTTGGGGAAGTCCTGGGGGTTTGGGGGTGAAGCCTGTGGAGGGCAGGTTTGGAGGGGGAGAGGGACGTCAGCAAGGTATAATGCCCTGGAGCCCACCCTCCAGCGCAGGTATTTTTCTCAAAGGGGACAGAGCTTTGTAGCCTGGAGATCAGTTGCAATTCCAGGAGGTCTCCAGGCCCCACCTGGAGGTTGGCAACCCTACTTATAGTCTGACAGTGGGTTGTTCTCCCCCCCCC